ACTTCTGTTCAAAACAGACTTTGCTGGATTTTCTCTAAGGCCCCAGAAAAGGTTTCACTGGTACTCAAGTACTTCAAATCAATCTGTAAACTATACGCATGCTGCTTCAAAAGAAATTAAACACAACAAGGAAAATTCCAATTAAGACAAGAAAAAAAAAATCACCATGGGGGTATTCAAATACAAAGTAGTGTTTCAGGAAAGTTTTGAACCTCCACCTTTACACATACTCAGAAGTCAACTGCACGAGGTCCACATAAAAGTGATCTAAATTAGCCTAGTTTTGGGCACAGTAATTGTACTAGGTGACTTCCACAGGTCCCTCTGAACCTGAATTCCTCTATGATTCCATTATATGTAATTTTTAAGAACTCTGATATAACAAATAAGTGTATATTCTGTGACCCACCGGCATATCCTAAATTGTTAGAATAGATTGTCAAAGAAGATTTGTACATCTGACGTTAATTCATTTGGTTATTAGCACTTTTGTCAAACATCAAGAGCAAGAATTTACGAACGCCTGGACTGTTACACAAAAATACTCACCATAGCTTCAATATATTAATATAAAAATAGGAAAACAGATAATTAAGACAATACTAACCTCTCTATTAGAGATCAGAAAACAAGAATCTCATGGTGTTAGACCTTACAAGTATTCCTTTAAATGATGAAAGAACAAAGAAAATATTTGAACAGGGTATGAAGTAACTTGAGTTAAGAAGCTGGCCAAAGAAATAATACACAGAAGTGGTCTTACAATAAACCTGATGAAAAAAGGGAATTGAATCAGCAACGATCACTTATCAAGTATTACTCCAGAACACTGGCCACACAAGGGCCAAAGAATGTTATTACTTAAAATGTATTCAGCACATACTTAGAAGTTATTATCTTTGAATTAATAAGTGTGAAGGTATCCTCAAGCCTAATGTTTTCAAAAATAGTAGGTTTGACGATTGCCCCATGTGTATGTAAACACCATTCCCTTCATCCCTGTTTTTTAATTAGTTACAATGTCATCTTGCTAGATTAAAATAAAAATCTACTTTGGGCCATTCAAAAATGCATTCAGACATGCTACTGAACAGCAAGAAATAACTTAGAATGCTCCCTTATAAATGAGAATTTTACACGTATTAGAAAATTATCTTATTTTTGTGTGTCTACCTATGTATAAACATCTATTAAAAATATTTAGTGTGAAGAAAAGGATCCACATAAAAGCTTTTATCTTACTTCAATGTGTCTAATGGGACATACTTCTGAAAAGTATTAGGTACCTGTACTTGGAAGAGTAGCTTACTGCTATTTTGAGGGAGGAAAAAGGATTTTCCTGCACAATTTGTGGCAAATCCATTGTTCCCACTCAGTTCCAAAGAATACAGATAAAGCTGACTCAGCATGGACGGTAGAACAGTGAATACAACAATGCTGATCGCTGCTGCTAATATCAGACATACCTTTGCTAGTGCCAGCAGCTCTTAGCTGCAGCTCTCACCAAGTTCTGAGGTTAACATGAGTTAGAAGAAACATTTCTGCTATAAATTGTACTGATTTTGGCTTCTAACTTTGAAATCAATAGCCATCAAAAATCTCAGCAGGTTGTAGTAGCTACTGCATCCTTTCTACTAAGCTACAGAACATAATCCAATGTTTTCCTCCCCCCTTAAAGTTTTGTTTACAAATATACTAATTCAAAATAAAAAAGCACTTTCTCAGCTTCAGTTGGATTCATTGGTATGTTTGCTACAAATAGTTTCATGTTAACGCCGCCAAAACAAGATGCTTTTGAAAGCAGAATGTAGAAGTTAGAAAATTATTCTGCTTTCATAGTGTATAATTCTAAATATCTATACCTATATATGTTTATGTAATTTCAATAACTGGGAACTTGCAAGCAGAAGTACTTGCTTTCTCTTTTTTAATGTATTTCAAGAAATAAAATGCAACAAAGCTAGAAGATAGTTTAGTGTTATAAAAAACCTGATAATTTTAACTCAGGTAAGTTTAAAAATGGAAAAAAGGTTAAACAGACCATAAAGTTTTTGTACCATCCTTAAGAATTGAAATAGTTTCATCCATTAAAATAGCAAAGAAACCTTTACCATATGCTTTTTAAGTCTAAGTTAAATTTTTTTGTCAAGAGATTAGTTTTCAAAGGGAGGGAAACATCTAACAATCAAAAAAAGTCAGTCAAAAATACAATTAGGAAATCTTACCTTACAATCATGATAAACCTGATACGAATCAGATCTTTCATCTCAGATATGAACACATATCCATGTGTTCACATACAATCAAAGTCAGCAAGTAACATTCTGCTACTTTCATCCATAATAAATCCACACTAATCCAATTAAAAAAAGTATGTCAGAACGTGTCAGAATGTGATTCAAAACTACATCTGCAAAAACCTCTGATGTGGCACTTCAGATTTTGATAGAGCTATCTCACCACAATAAAAATTATACATTAACAAGATCTTCTTTTAGTCTCATTCCTTTCTACCCTAATACCACCTAATTCCTGCACATGATCATGACCTTGTCTGTACAGACCCTGGCAACTTTGGTTGATACATAAGCACAAAAGATATACAGCACTGAGTAGCTGAGACACAGATATTTTTCATTTATCTTAGCAGTTGAGATCATATAAATCACCTTATCAAATCAATTTGAAAATATAGACTACTTTGACCATTCATCCCTCCCCAAAATAAGACCACAATATTATATCTGTGTAAGCCAAAAACGATCCCTTAACTAAAGTCTAGTACAGCTCCAATAATGGCATGCTCCCAAAGAAACAGTAATTTTGCTATATTATACAATGACCTAACATATTTCTCTAAAATTAACAAAACAGTCAGATTTTTTCCTATTTTATAAGAAGCTGTTTTGTAAGTCCCACTTCTGCCAGAAAATACTGAGCTCTTATTTTGTATTTAATTGCAAATAATTTATATTTTAAAATTTAAACTATTTAAACTGTTATTTAACACAAAATAACAGTTAAAGAGCTTGTGATATTATTTGGTTAGAATAAGAGGATTTTTTCTTTTAATGATTTGCTTCTGCCCATAAATTATGTCTAAGTCATGGAAGGCATGTTTATTCCTGAATGTTTGCAATTACTCAAATACGCTAAAAGTTCAGAGGAAAGGAGGTTCCAAATTCCATTCTCCTGTTTGAGGTATGTCTGTGGGTCATTTGCTTATCTGAAACACATGTGCACTAGTGTCTGGGTAAGACCAGAATTTGTCCCCTATTCTTTTCTTTTTAATAGAAGAGGAAGAGCAAAAGTAAAGAAAGAAAGAAAGGGAGAGAGAGGGGGTGGGGGAGAAAGGGAGAGGGAGAAAGAGAGAAAGAAAATAAAAAAGGAAGAATCAGATGGTTTAGATACAGATCTAAGAAAAGTATTTTTGTGGAGGAAAGTCTATGATTGGAGTCTTTCGGATTCATATTAGTGTCAGCATGTCTATATCCCTGCAACTTGTTTGCTATTGATGCACACAGATAAAAGAAATCTTTTTGTACTGCCTAGACAATAGAAAGCAGGAAATTCTTTTGAGGAAAGGTCTTGGATTCAAATTTCATGTCAGACCGGCGATCATATCAAGAACAAAGTCAAACAACATCACAGCCCAGAAGGAAACTGAGAACATAAGCAGAGGGCTGCTCATCCACCTGACGGCCATGGATATCTTCTCTTAGCAGAGAAAGGATGAAAACTATGCTGAGAAAACAGACTGAAATTCAGCTCATAAATCTTAGCTCCAATTCAGTGATGGGAAATCAAACCTCATATCTTTGATATCAACATTGAGTTTTTTATTAGAAATGAATTCTTTGAGCTTTAATGAACACCATCCATAGAATTAAAAACCATACTAAATACAAATGAATAAAACCTATTTAAAAGATTGCAGAAAGTCAGTACTACCCTTAAAAAATTCCTGATAACATACTTACTTAATATCCATCTGTATGAATATAAATAATTGAACTTGATTTACATGTGTCTATTTATGAAATAAGCAGAGGCTCACAATTTGGAGGAAATACAGAAACATCATGTTCATGACATTTTCACTGGCAAGATTTAAGAGAATGAGTCTATATAATAGAAAAAATAGTATTTTGTAATAGTGGGAGACAGTACTGGAACACGTAAAAGTGAAACAGTGAAAGAAAAGGAAAATCAAAACTGTACTTATATTGTATCCTAACCTCTGAGTTACCAAGAGTCACTTTTTAATGTAGTAAGAACCCAGTATATTCTCAGAAGGGAAGACCAATCTTTCCAAATCTCAGCATAACGTGGTAAAATGAAAACCTTAGTGCTTGGCTGTATTTTATAGCAAGATATATTGGGTACTGAGATAGGCACGTATCTACAGTTATATTCTATGTAATATATACTGCCTATAAACTTCACTAATTGAATATGTGATAAATGCATTTATACACCCTCATGCTCTTTCTTTATATGTACATGCACACAAAATACATACACACACAGATATATATATATATAGATATATATATATATAAGCACTATATATCTCTCTCTCTAGCTCTAAACACTGTATAAACACTCACACATACATGTAAACATTGTTAGAGGATGTGCAACTCTTGGAATTCCTGCTTAGACCAGATTTCTTTGAAAAAATGTAGACACAAGAAATGTACTGCTAAGGAGCATGAAGTTTTGAAAGAAGCATATTTCTTTAGATAGATTAGTAGTAACCTTTAGGGTACTTCATGTGTGGTAAAGTTATTTTAATAATTCTAGCTCCTAACCACTGTAAAAATTATCAGTGTATGTATAAATCTGATGGTGTGCATGCATTAAGCAAACAGACCAGAGGTGTATTTGAAAACAGTGCTTCTCCAGAAGGTATACAAACATAATCTTCAAACATAATTTATTTTAGAAATAGATAAATAAGACATAAAAGGAACAGTGCTCAATAATTCAATATGAAAGCAAAAATATATATTGAAAAATATTTGTTAAAAAGATTTTACAAATAATACTTAAGATCGGGATATACCATAAATATATGTTTATGGTAAAATGGGAAATCAGTGGAAATGTGTAACAAAAAACCCCCGCAGCATTACAGTTTGTGTTAAAAAAATAGTTCTATTTACATCACAAACCAGCTTTGTTCCTGACAGCACCCTACCGCCCTTCAGCAGTCCTCCACTCAATTAAATTCAGAAGGATTTAAATCCTCTAAAGTCCAATATATTTTCTGATACGATAGGCAGCTTTCATACAAACTGCAGATAGTGTGCCATAGCTTTTCCTTGGAGTGACTCACTCGATATCAGGGCACGGCTGAGATCGAGTGGCACTGAGCTTTGGTAGACACACATCCATGCGAAACCCCGGCACTGACAATGTGACACAGGATGCGGAACAGCAAATCTGAGAGCCATCTTCGGCTGCTGGCATTGTAGGGCTAGAAGAAGCAATGCAATTAATTTACTCTGTAAAACTGGCAACAAATAAAGAACTATTCCTTTTGCTGAGCCACACATAGCACGGTAACTAACCAAAACCAGACTCTAGGACTTTATCTCTGGACACAGACCTGTCTGCACTGGTGACAGGGGTGGCAATGTGCACCAGATAAAAGAATGAATCTCTTGAGAAGTTTAGTGAGATTATCATAAGTTTTTTAGTTTCAAAAGCAGCATTTGGCCAACTCAGTGTTTTTTGCTCTTAGTTTACTCTGACTTCTGTGTGCAGTCAGAAAATAGTATTCCTGTAGATTAAAACATTTGAGAAACAGAGTTGGTTTCGACAACATATACCTAGCTTTGACTCAGGATGCTAATACTGATTAAAAAAAAATAATAATAAACAAACAAAAAAACTAAATATGGGATTTTTTGAGTGGCCTCCATTTAGCCTTCACATCATTCAATAGTGCACATGTACATATTTGGTCAGTAGAAGCAGGCTTCCATGAGACTTTCAGGAACCCATTTAACCATCAGAAGGAAATGAGCTCTCTAAACAAGTCTTATGAGAGTCTATGGAAGAATTACTTCTTAAGAACTGACAGATGTAAGAAAACAAAAACTGAAACAGAGGAAACACATGAAACTGAGCCGCTTAAGAGGTTGCTGGCTTTTCCTAAGGGAAATTTACATTTGGAGGGTAATTATATTTGGCTGTCCTGACTCACGAGAACTAGAAGAGAGAGGTTACTGAGTTCAACTAATAATCCAACCACTTGATGTACCTTTATTTCATACACGTAACTTTTTTAATGTTTAAAATCATCCTATATTCTTTTAGAATTATTTATTGATAGTCTAGAATGATATGACCAGTGAAATACTAGGAAAAAGGTAGACCTTCAGCTAGGTTAAAAGCAAAATAACTAAGAATCTGATGAAAAATATTTTTCTCTGCAAGCACATAACTGGTATATTTAAATTAGAAAGGTACTTATCAAAGGTTCTCTCCATACTTAGTGTGAGAAAATAGGCACTTCTAGAGGGAATGCAGTTCTAAAATCAAAAAACCCTGCTATAGTGTATCTATGCCTTTTCACTACCAGAGGAAAAAACTGAGGGCAGCTATAAATCCACTTGAGATGACTAAATTACATGTTTGATGTTAGATTAAATTAACGTAGTCCAGCACCTTAACTCAGTATTCCTCAATTAAGAAAAAAAAAGTTTCAATGTAAGCATTGAAATTATTTGGTGTTTTTCTTAATCAAACATTAATTTTATACATAAGAGTTTTCTCATCCAAGGACATCCAACCTAATTATCATAAGAACAGATGTCCAAAGATTCAAAAAACCAAAGAAAAAACAGAAATCAAAGGTCTGTGAAATCCTACTATCCTCCTGACAAACAATTCTACTAGGCTGAAGGGTTATTACTCTTAACAAGTATCTTTGGATGTTTCCCATCACCCACCTATGAAGCACATCAGCAAACAATTGTAACAGCAATAGGCAGGACCAACCTTTGTTACACTAAACAACACTTCTTGAATAAATTACTTACTATGTCAGGAATGAACTTTCAACCCAAAGCGACTGCCTGAATTATGGCATTGAGTCAATAAATATCATTACTGTATGTCTAACCACTGCAAGTGTCAGTTTTTTTAGTTTGAAGCATAAATGCTGCAAGGCTGTGATAAATAGAAATAGCAAAAACTGTCTTACAGACACATAAACTTCTTCCCAAGAAAATGATTTCATTATCGGAAATGAAAAATTTTCTATAACAGTCATAGATATAATTATGCAATACAATATGCTAAATTACAATACGTACTTCATTATTAATAGAATTTATTTTACAGATCAAATAGCCAAATACACATTTTTAAAAGAGCCAGATAGCAAATGTGGAGAAAACTATAGGCAACAGTCATGATAGACATTCTCCAGTCCAAGAACTGAGGCAACGTGATTATTAAGTACAAGCCTATAAATATTTTTACATCAAACATACAGTAATGTGTAAGAATTCCATGTTGTAGTCTAATTCATGAATCATTAATAACTTTTTCTTTAAAAGAAAGTTATATATACTGTATACATCCCAGTTAAAAGCAGTGTCTGTATTTCATTTTATTCTAGCAAACTAATATTACATGTCTTCATATAAGTGCAGAAAACAGGGTTCTTTATACTCCTTTGCTTCCTAAGAGATTTTGCATTGTATATGAAATTCTAATATTATAGATGATACATATTAAGCATTACTCCCTAAATTGTGAGGCAATATACAAGAACTTGCAACCAACCTGCAAACAAAGCTATGATATTCAAATTTTATTTTTAAAATGAGTCGTGCTAAATAAAAAATTGTAATGTAAAAAAATTTAATTTTTGTAAAAAAAGTTAACTATCTAGAGAAATAATTTGGGAAAAAACCCAAAGGTAGGCCATTTTTTTCCCCATGTGCTGGCTAACAGTGAAAAAATTATGTATGCTCTTTCCTCTTTTATCACACTGAAAACCAAGCCACTGGATTTATGACTTTTTTAAAAATAAAAGTACTTCAAAAGGTTAAATGTATGCCACCTGTTACACAGACATTATGTAGACTTCAGCAAGCAAAATGCAAATTAAATTTTATTTTTAAAACTTAAGTGAATACTTTCCAGTTATTTAAAAGGTGATCATTTATTACAAAATGTTGTGGATAAGAAAGCCGGAAGTACTCATTTTTCACTACTACTATTGTGCCTATAAAATGAGAAAGCAGTGATCTGATCGATTCTATTTATGATCCATAGCAGCAATATCATCAGTAAAAATATTATGGAATAGATATAAATAACACTTAATTCTTAACATGTATAATGGTGCTATAAGTGACAACAATTCATTTTTGTTTTAAATGCAGGGAGTATAAAGAACTTTACATTCTCTTTTTAATGTATGAATAAAATTTATTGCTCCCTTTTAATATATTTATAGAAACAAAACTCCTAATTGTTTCAACTAAAATAAATAAGGAAAAAATCTGGGACAAGAAGATGATTACAAGCAAAATAGATTTACCATAATCACCAACTGTGAAGAAGGATGGGTCACATTACTTTTTTCTTAGCAAAACTACGTTATAGAACACTATAGCACAATGTACTAAAATTTCTTTGTCTTTTCTTTTTAAAAAATTCTTGCCCTTGATACCTTTCAGTAGGGCAGCTTGAACAGTTCATCGTCACTTCCAAACCCCTCTGGAGATCAGACGATAAATTTCTTCGGCAATCAGAGACAGGACAAAGGGCTTTCTCGTGCTATTTCCTTGTTTTCATGTTTGCTGGCTTAACATCATTGTGTACACGTACGACTTCAGTATATAACATCAGATGCGATGACGTTCAGAGCTGGCAAACAGAGAAACAGCATGAGAAAAGCCCTTTCCTGCATAATTTTCTCCATATATTGTAAAGTTTGTTTCGAAATTTCTACTATGTCAAGCACTGTATGGTCTGAGAAGTACTGAACTACTGCGGTTCTAAGAAACCAACCATTTCTGCTGCGTGTGTGTTTTCAGGTCTCTATACACAAGCAAAGATCTGCACACATCTATATACACATACCAAAAATGCTGAAACAGAAGGAGCCACAGAAATAGCTTCTATGTATGTTATTCTAGGTTTCTTACTAGGTTTTTTTTTGCTTTACCACCTTGAAACCCCAAGTACTATGGCAAGATTATAGCTATCAGAAGACTATCATGCTACCTAGAACATGTTCTACAGAGTTTTAGCACACTGCATTCAAGAGCATTGTTCCTAAGAGCATAAAATATTTTGATTTGAAGAGTTATTTTGCATGTTTAATCTACATTTATCATCAACAGAGTTTGAGTCCTAAAACTTCACAGAAATTAAGTCATTCTGATCAATTATTTCACAGGAAAAAAAGCACTATCAATACCACAGTCACCAAGACACTAGCCACTCACTGGTCAGGAAATTGCTATCAACTGCAGATTATTGAGTGCAACACCTTCTGGGAGAGAATAGGAAAAGAGAGAAGTGTGAAAATTAAACTGCAGTTGAATCAGACTTCATTTCTGGCAATGGTTTATAGCTATAGGTAATTTTTAAAAAAGAAAAAAAACACAAAGTTGGATCACTAAGAGAAAAGAGTAAACTTTTCTGTTATCCCACTGAAAAAATGAAGGTGAAATGCACTTAATGTTTAGGAAAATTTATGCTGCTACTACCGTGAGGCAAGCTGCTATTGGAGAGAGTTGCATCTCATAGCATGAATAAAAATCACACAGTTATTCATGCTGGAACTTCATCTACCAACTTCAGTATAAACTCAGTCAGTGAGTTCTCATTGGGAAAAAAAAAAACAAAAACAACCCTTTGTTTTCTCTGAAGTAGTTTTAACTTAAGTGTCATAATCAAAATCCTTCATTTTTCCTCACACAAAACATTGTTTTATTTTTTCTTCTCATTTGTGCTCTGTTTCTGTCTTGAGACAAATGGGGACTTTCCAGGTATCTTCCCCCACGCTTTTCCAGTGAAACATGTATATTAAAAGAACAATTCTGAAGTTTTTCTTCCAAGTGTTCCACAGAGGAAAAGCATTTCCTTGACCAGCTTTACTTTAGTAGTAAATGCACATTTAAGTAACTGCTACTAACTTCACTAACTTCTAAGTCACATACTTTCATTTATCCTTCAGTTAGAGATCTTTTCTTCAGATGCAAATATCAGTCATTCTCTGAAATGTATATACATGGCAGCATATCAGAACTACCAGCAAAAATACCAGCCAGAAAATTAAGGGAAAATAACAAGAATATTTAGAATGAGAGCAATCAATTTTGAAATGGCTTTTAGGAAGGGCTTATACCGACAGCTATTTAGCTCATATTTAGAAGAAAATGTTCTTTGAGTGTAATTTACTCTGTATCTGTCAATGCAAAGTATCAGAGTTATCTCTATGTGCTTTTACATACCAGAAACAACAACACTGCCTACTGATGATTACAGTATACTAGATTAAACAAAACAATAAATCCTACAGCTAAAGATTTACATAACAGTGAGTTTTCAGACCTATTACTTTCAGGAACAGTGCAATATTCTTTCGATACACATCCTAAGCACAGTGTTCTCATAGTTAGTGGGAAGCTGTAACAACTTTTCCACCACATTTCAAATCAGAATCAGAAACTCAAATATACCATAACTGTAAGCAGGTTTAAGCAGTCACTAATAGATTCATAGAACTGAGACAGTAGGGCCACAAAATGCAAGGGATTTTGAATGAGGTCTACTTCCCATTCAGATTTCTATAGGGATTATAATGTCTATCTCCAATCGGTTTCTGAAAAACAAGTTCAGCAGAGGTCACTGTGTCATCTGAAATTTCTATTCATGAGTATGGATACGTTCACACTTGATGGAATCTTGTCAACTAAAATCAACTACTGAAGATTTGCATTAGTAACTATGAAAAAAATCAAACTGCATGCCTCTTCACTCTCTCAGCAACTTCCCAAAGATGGTATAGTGCACTAGCAGTGGAGCTAAATCCACATACAGACCGGAGTCTGCTGTGAAGCAGGGAGAACCACCAAAAAGCACGTAGAGATTCAGAGCATGACTGCACCTTCCGGCTCTATCTGTGGAAGAGGCACTGCTTTCATGAACACTCACACTTCTTCAATAACACAAAGACAAAAAAACCTTGTTCTTAAGTTGAAGTTTAAAAAGACAATACAAAAGTTCACAGGACACTTCCTGAGTGGCCTGGTATGTCTTTTCGAAGATACCTACTGTTCCTATAGTATGCATTATACTCTTTTCAAAAGTATGTCTGAAATAGCATTAATCAAAGGGACAAGAAGGAGGAGGGTGCATGGGAAGTTCTAATGAACCTTTACGGCAGTAACTTCTTTGAACCAAGCTACCACAGATAACATTAGATAATTATGCATGTTTTGAATAGACAGGTTAATACCTAGACAGGCACTTGATTTATCTGAATGTTTCTTAAAGTACTCGAGCTAGGATTTCAGATTTTAAAATTGTGTTACATACTACATGAAAACTGGACTGAAAAAGCCTCTCCTTTCTTTTTGTTGTTTCAATGCAAATGCAAAAAGAATTAGAAAATTTGTGTCAGTATGGAATACTTGACAGTCTGCTCTCGCTAAGGTAAATGTCAAAGGTAATTGAGCTTTTACAAAGCTTGCAGACAGATAAACTTTAAAGGTGCTGTATGTTTTTCTACCAGAGAAGTGCATTTTTCTACAAGGCCCGTGACTATCAATGAAATTCCGACAACACTGAATGTCAGTTTGATTTTACAAGCCTCCAAATATCCTAATTTGAAAAACCTTACTAAAAAGACTCTTTACAATTTTACACTTGGCAAGATTTCTTTAAAAGAATTATCTCTACTACATCCCAAAAGAAAACATGCTATTTAGAAGGTCTACTGTCATTTGTATTTATTAATTCCTACTGTGTAACTTCAAAATAATATCATTATTTCTCTGTCTTGCCTTTTTTCACATGCAAGCACAACAGAAGCTTGATCTCTCTCTTAGGGGACATTACATTAGGTCCATGATTCAGTGTGTCCTCAGCTGCTTCAGGAGTCTCTGATTCCTTCTCCATAAAAATTTCAGCTGTTGCATTGCTGTGTTTATTTACCCACAAGACCACTAAAGAGGTATTTTGGGTTTTTAGTAGAAAAACCTTTCCATCTTCTCCTTTGTGCTTTCTGAGTACAACCATTAGAATGACTTTCTGTCATTTTATAGATCACTTAGACAAATTTAGCAGTAAAGGAAAGACATAATTTCCTTTCTTTAAAGACCTGAATCAATACCATTAAGACACAGACAAAATGTAGAGCTTCAAAAGAAAACATATATTTTTAGCTTTAACTCAATATTATTTCTAATATCTGACTAGAAATTCTTGCATGGATAAAAGTAAGAACGGTATAGATGTGCAGACTATTAATATCAGCACCCATTAGAAACTGAAGAGATATCTTCACAGTGAATGTAATCTTCTTTGGTCTCCTTCAGAGAGCTTTTGGATTGTAAAAGGGATGCATTATCGTAATTGTTAGTGATAAAGTAAAATATTTTTTCTCATATTAGACAACTTATTTTCATTTTTCAGACTAGTACTTCTCCCTTTTTAACTGAACTTATTATCCTTCACTTCTCCAGGCTGTCCTACAGCTCCCTGAAAACGACACATGCATCATTAACCACAAATACCCTGTTAGTCTCCGAGGCTGGAGGATGGCGGGACAGTGTGACATCTGAAGCACTGTGGCAGAAGCCTATTTTTGTTTGTTTTGTTTCTTTACTGGCTAAAAGTGACAACTCTAAGTTAGGCTGTCCTGATTCACTGTCTGTAGCCCCACAGGAAATAAAATTATACAGACTATGCTATACAAAACCAGGTTAGGGGTAAGACTGACTTTTAAAAGTTCCATTGAGGTTTAAGAAATACTTTGCTTGGTTTTATTTAGCATGAAATACAATTCTGCCTCTGTGATCACAGTCCAACACACAGGATTTATGGCCTTTCTTGCTCAATTTATGTAAATAAACACATTAATGAAATTATTTAAGTAACAAAAATGTGAATTCATGTATTTAAAGGTAAATGGTGTTTTCAAATTAGTATGAAGGGCCATTGACAGTGAGTAGTTATATCTTCTCCAACAATGTGATCACTTTCATACAGAAAAATATACCTAAAGGAAGGACAGCTGTAGTTTTAACACAATCAATACCAATAGTAACATTAATCTCTTTTTTGATATGTTCAGCATGTCATACTAATATAATTTCGGGTACCGCTCTATGAAGATAAGCTAATATCAGGTAATGAGTATTAAAAAAACCCCACAGTTCTATTCTGCTCTTCCAGATAGAAAGCTCCTGTCATTGACCTTTAAGGTACAGATAAAAGAAAATGCTCTTTTCCCCAACCAACTGCTACAGAAGAGAACTGCTTTCCATTTTACTTTAAAAGCCCCTTCTGATGGAAGAACTTTTAGTAAAAACCTAGAGTCATGAGCTTGCTTTCTTTGTTAGCAGCATTACCGCATGACTAAGTGTATTTGAGCAGACAATGCATGAACCTTTTTGGCTCAGAGGAACTATACCAGAACTCAATTGAAATATCATTCAGATCAGGCCTACAGAAACGCTGGAAACAGCACCACTGTCCTCAGAGTTATGAGAGTTCAAACAGATGAACAAATTAGCAAGAAGCTTTTCTATGTGTAATTTAAATTAACACATTCAAATACCTTTAATGGAAAATACTCAAATCCCAAAAAGCTATATATTTTTCAGTGCTTTCATGTCTTGGAAATAAGAAATTCCTTTTTTTTTTTTTTTCCCCTTCAATTTTTCTGCTAATGCACCTCAGAAAAAGATGAAAGTTTTATAAAGCATAGTGATATACATTACCACACACATTTGTGTTGGTAAGGGGAATAAAGTAGAATAAAGTAAAAAACCCATCCTGTAGTTTTCAAAAATATGATGACTGCTTGAATGAGCAGCTTTTTTTTAGGCACATTTGGTTATCACTATAGTAGTAATAGAACAAAGCCCACAGAAAAAAATTCAAAACTTCAGCTTGAGCAAAAAGTCTAACAGACTTAGTCATGCTGAGGATTTGTTCCCGAGCAATGGTATCAAACTATATTATCAATAATATAATAAACTCTCCTGAAATATTTCTTTATTAATTCCTTGACCAATTAAAGCATAACTAGAAAACTATTTCCACTGAAAACTTTGTGATAATTTTGAAGAAAGAGAGCAGACAAACAGCAAAGCTTTATTATTAATGAAATTGTCCAGAATATGGATAGACATTAGTTTCAGTTTCCAGTGACTTAAAGCCTTTTTGCAGTGTCTTGAAGAATAAAAGGTACTTTGGTTCTCGATTTATTTTTAATTTTAAGCTGAGGATTCTTTAGACATTTCGTTTGCTGTACTGAATTTCTGAGAAGCTTAATATCTGGTTTATCAGGCAGAGCAGCAAATAAGTGACAGCAATTATACTGATGATTCTAATTTTCCCCTAACTTTGCCTGCTGACTGTGTCATTCCACCAGATTTAAGTTGTCCAGTATGCTTCTAGTCTGAAAATGGCACTGAAACTCACAGAGGAAAATCCTTGCCTGCTTTTGAGAGACCTTGAAGTAAAGCTATGCCCAAGTGAAGGCTGTAACTCCAGACTCCATTAATATTAAGAACCACTTATCAGATCCTGGAAAGCTTTATTGCTTTCCACCTGGCCTGGATTACTTCAATTCTTGAGCATACAATACTACAGAGGACAGTACCATAACCCCTCTGCCTGAGGAGCTGCGCTGGGTACTGCGGCAGTGCGGGAAGTGCCACACTGCCATCTGCAGTCAGGAACACCCACCCGTGTCACAACTCACTGCTCAGTCTCCTTACAGCCAACAGTCATTTTCTTTTCATTTTCTCCCTTAACGCTGATGAATCTCCAATTGTTTAATTTTCAATGCCTCGATCAAACACGACCTTTCAAACTTTTAATCCTTGCAGGAAAAGTTATTTTGCAATGCTTAGAGCTAGAGTTATAGGAATAGCAAAATAAGAAGGGAAGGAGAAAGACAGCACCTTAGAATTTCCATTACCTGTCTGGTGTGTATGGGGCCTGGGGTCTTGAAGCCTCCTTGACAGCTGCATTCAGAAACACTGTAAGGGTCCGAGCTGCTGGATGAGCACTTGGAAAGCGAGTCACAGCCCACCACAAAGGTGTTATCTAGAGGCAGTTCCTGAATGACATGGTGCTTCTTGGGGGGTACAGGAGTCTCGGGTTTAATTTGAAAGGTAGGCTGTGGAGAAGCAGACTTGTAGTGCTTTGCTAAATCTGGGCTGTCAGGCTTAAATGTGGTTGGTGTGGTGGCCCAGTTATATTTTCCCATAGTCTGTTCTTCTAGCTCTACAGGAATGTCTAAAGTGCCATTTATGTGCTCATGGCCAGGATCGTCAGGCTTAGATTCTTCAATAGTCACAAAGTTGAGGAGGAGACTTTTTGGAGAGCGCTTCTTCTTCTTCTTCTTTTTCTTGATCTGCCTGTTCTCTTGGTTTGGGGAAACCCATTCACCACTCTGCTTGTTTTTTTGGACAACCTTGTGCCTAGGCGTCTGGCGGCACCGTACTAAAGCAGTAACAAAAATTACCAGAATCACTGTCATAGTGCCTGCAATAATGGCAATGATGATCTTGACATAATCATTGGTTTGTGGGGTTATCTCACCATCCCCAACATTCTGGCCAACTGGAGTTTCCATATTCCTGCGCACTAGCTCTTGTACGTAGGAACTGTTGGTGACTGTCTCGTTCACAAACAAATGCACAAGAGCTATAGTATAAAGAGACTCCGGCTGTCCAAGGTCATTGACTTTTATCACCAGTCTGTGCAAGCCATGATCTGATGCAATTACCTTCTCTTTCAAAGTAATATTGCCTGTTAATTGATCAATTGTAAACAAGCCCCTTGAGTTCCCACCTATGATGCTATAGCGGAGCTCTGCATTCATTCCTGTGTCATTATCAACTGCAAAGACTTTAGTAACTACAGACCCGGGACTGGCTGATGTTGGAACCAACTCATAGGAATAATTAGACGAAGGAATAACAAAAACAGGCCTGTTGTCATTAACATCAACAACATTGATGGTCACTTTGGCAGTGGAGGAACGCTGTAGTCTTCCGCCATCCACAGCTTTCACCTGGAAAGTATATGACCCCTGCTGTTCCCTGTCAAAGGTAATATTAGGTCTTATCACACCAGTAAGTGGATCTATAATGAAATTATCTCTACCATTTAATATAGAGAGAGTGACTGCAGCATTCTCTCCCGAGTCAGCATCTGTAACTGTGATAAGCCCCACTGTGCCATACATGGGTAAGTTTTCTGGCACGTAGAAATTATACTCATTATGTGTGAAAGCAGGGCTGTTATCATTCTGGTCCAGGACTGACACTGTCACAGTAGCATTGGCCTGCAAGGGTGGCATCCCATTATCCTTAGCCAGCACAGTGAAGGAGTACCTGTCTTGCTTTTCTCTGTCCAGCTTTCTCACAGCTGTTAGAATGCCTGTACGGCGGTCAAGGTTGAAAATAGGGGGTGCATCAGACCCCAGGATATAGCTGATCTCAGCATTGCGCCCACTGTCAGCATCCGTAGCACTTATCTTGGTTAGCTGTGTACCAGGCGCATTGTTTTCAGGGATGGAAAGACCTATGACAGGCTGTGTAAAAACAGGGGCATTGTCATTTTCATCTTTAATTTTGATAAGCAGCATTGCAGACTGGTTTAAGGGAGGTTTCCCTGAATCTGAAGCCACTATTTTAATGGCATATTCCCGCGTGGCTTCATAATCTAGAAAGGTGGCTGTCTCCAGGAGAAACTGATTATCAAACACTGGCTTTAGCCTGAAAGGAACATCATGATCTGTAAAACAAGTAACTTTGCCATTCAGATCAGCATCCTTGTCCATTACTGTTATCAATGCAATTTTTGTATTAAGGGGAGCCTTCTCAGACAAAAGCACTGTCCCATTCACTGGATTGATGATGTATCTCGTGTCTATTGATGGGACATTGTCATTAATATCCGTGACATTAACAGTCACTGTTGCTCTTGATGGAGTTGAACTGCCATCACTTGCCAAAACAGTTAATTTGTGCACAGGAGATTCCTCCCTGTCTAGTGGTTCTCTGATAGTGATGAGGCCAGTGGTGTTATCAATGGCAAACAGCCTTTTGGCCAAACTGGAGATCTGATTGCTGAAATAGAAGTGGATTTGTGCATTTGAGCCCAGGTCTGCATCAGTGGCATGGAGCTGAGAAACAGAGGTGCCCACCGGAGCATTTTCTGGAACACTAACTTCAATGTCATTCTCTTTGAAGACTGGGCGATTATCATTCACATCAGTCACTGTGACTTGCAGGATGGCAGTGCTAGATCTTGGAGGGCTTCCACCATCTTCAACTTTAATTTTCATCACATAGGTATCCTTCTGCTCCCTATCCAGGATCTGTTGGACAATCAGTTGAGGCCACTTATCTCCCTCAGGTGTCTCAATTATATCAAGACCAAATACATTTTGACCCTACAAGACACAGAAAGAACATGCTTTAGTTTGACAGTATATTTAAACAGAAAAACATGTCATTTATGTTCTGAAATTGTCATGGAATCTATATTTATATATATACTGTATACACAAATATACATTGATATATTTATCTTTGTTTTGCAATATCTAATTTTGCTTGAAGCTCCAGAACCATAAGAAAGCTTCCGAGCAAACATGGGAAGAAATGGATACTTTAGAAAAACAGGGGGGGACAGATGTGTTTGGAGGGCGTGCTGGTATGTTTTGTTTTAGTCTTTTAACCAGTTTGTCTATTTCTACACAGAAGTTATTAAATTTCTGGACAGATGTAATTTGGTTTCTCTATTGTATGAGTGAGTGTGGAGAAGAGGAATGAAGCCAAAGTTCAGCCACATCCAAAGGCAAGACAGTATGAATACACTGGAGGACCTAAACCAATATTCATTTCAAGGAAAACAAGAAAGATAAAGGGACTGTTTCTCTGTTCATGGAACAACTCTGGACATGATCTGAAACCATTAGCCTAAAAACCTAACACCATCGTGAAAAGAGGTGCTAGATACAGACAAAACTAAGTTGTAACAGTTTATTAGAAATATATTTAAAAACTCACTGAAACTGTTTCTTTATTCATTAGATAGTTTACATTTGTAGTGAAATTACAATCCCAGTGAGAAGAAAAAAGATCTATTTTCATTTTTTTTAAAAAAACCCCACATAAATACGAAATGAATTTGAAAATAATCATTTTTTTCAATGGGGTTTGTTGAACACCTAGCACCCCTGGAATTCTGGAATTGCAAGGAAATGTGAGATATATTGCAAAAAAAACATAGCTTCTTTTAAAACACTACTGTTGACAAAGTTGTCTTCTAAAATAAAGATTGGAATCTAGACTAGAGTCCCCCTTCTGCTGTCTCTTCGGACAAGTAGGGATTAAGAATATCACAATTATCCTCTTTTTTTTTTCCTCACATCTCTCACCCTTCAGAGGAAGACAGAATATAAAGGCAATTTTCCAGCCATATCTTCCTGAAGTACATAGCTAGAACGCAGATGACTAAAGCTGAATGTATAGGATGACCAGAAAAAGAAGGTATCAATAAAGATGCTGACGAGTTAGGATTTTCTTTTTATGTGTCGTATTTGTAAGAATGAACAACTGCATCTAGCCTGGCTCTTTCTCAGTTTATTGTGCTTGTCTTTCACCTTTACTCATGTAATTGTATGTGTGTTCTAAACTGGTTTGAGACACTTCAGACCAGAGGGAAACAAAATGTTCCCAGTGTGCAAGGTTCCTTATTTCTCATTACTTGTAAAAGATTTGTATTCACTGTATCTTGCTACCCACCGTTAAGTGAATGCATTTATAGTTCTACTTCTGTGTAAGTCTGTACTCTCATTGATTTGTTTTCTCAAAGCCAGAATTTGACCCTACAAAAGTAATCATTTATTTCATGGAAAAGAACTGTTCATCCACATTTCAAAAACTACTGTGCCACTTGCACAGTATTTGTGACAACATTAAGTTGCAACTAGGGACAGTCTAAAGTGAACTGGAACACATTTTGAAACAATAAACCAAATACAGCTTTGGCTTCTTTAGCAGAAGGCATATGAAAAATATAAGCCTTGCAAACCATTTCTAAATCAAGATATATATATATATATATATATTGAACTAATTAGATTAAATTTTAGAATGGTAATTCTATGCTGATCTCTTCAGGAAGGCAGAGTGTGAGTTTCCTCTTCATCTTCAATCTGGCTAGCAGTTATTTGCAATAAATTTCATAATTACTGAGAAATGATGAATAATATATTCTATGCTTTAACATAGATTTCCAGGGGGGAAAAAAAAAGTAACAGAAGCTAGAGGAAAAAAAAAACACCCTGTCAGCTCTCTTTTACTTCTTTATTTGTACACAAGATGACAGATGGGCACTGATTATTCTGTCATTATATCCCACAACTACAACAAACACTTCATATAGACTTTGAATACATGCAGCTATACATATGCATACCCATTTCTGCTTGTCTTTAACTATCAAGTATGAGAAAGATATTTTTCATAATAGCATACAAGTCTGATATAAAATACAGAACTTCAGTTCCCCATCACTAGCAGTAAGCTACCAGAGAAACAGAAAAGAATGCAAAGATCTTTCCCAAGTTAATTATTAACACTTGAGTAATTCTCTATGGAAAAATATTATCCAAGAGTATTTCTTGCTATTCATTACAGGTTTATACATCTCTTTAAACCACACCAAAAAAAAAAAAAAAGTTAGAGTAAATGATACTTTCTCCTAATTCAAGCAAGCCTATCTCACATTGTTTAAGGGATAAGGTTAGGTGTGACATTATGGCTCATTTTAACAAATGAATTTTATAAGAATGGACAGTTCTCCCTTTCTAATCACTTCAAAAAATGATGAAACATTAAAGAAACATATTTTTTGGATTATAAATACCTAATTCTTTGCCTTATGAGCAAAGAAATTGAGAGCTAAAAATCCTGAGAAATATGAAGAAAAACCTTCAGGATTAATTCTTGATGTTGAAGTAAATGGCTCCATCATGTTTAAAACCTCACTGAAGTGAAAATTTCCATTAGGGTCAGATTGTTATTTGGACTGAACTGTACCTCAGTCACCACATTATGCTAGTGGTCTGAAGATTTTGTTCACACTAGGAAGGGTATGAGTCCATAGGAAAAACATAATAGATAATTAACATTTATATAGTACCTTCTGCCATTAAAATGACTGGTAAAAATTATCTGCTACATTATTGTCTCCATCACTACAGAAGGATGGGAGTGAGAAATAAAAAAGATTGACTTTTTAAATCTAAAAAGACAGTTTAAGCAAAGTAACCTATCTGAGGCAAAACAAGGTTATGGCCATCTCAGAGCCAGAATTAGCTTTAAGAGGCTCTGCCCCTGATCACAAGCTTCTTGATCAGGGAAATAAGCAACTCTGTTACCTCAGTCAATTTTCACAACATACTTTTCAGTGGAGTCATGCACACAGTAGTCTTTGAAATAATTAAACTGGTATTTTCGTTGAACACTCCCTACTGCATATTTACCTGATCGTTTGTAATGGATCCAAATGTCCTTTTCGGAGCTGTTTTGGGCTGTCATGTAAATAAAAAATTAGAGAGTTTTTTTAAAATGGTAACATTTAGGTAGATTAATAAATACATAATCAATGACACATGGACACTTAATGTGATAAGCTAGGAGAGCTTCTAGTGTTATGGACAGGACTGCATGTGAGAAAGTGCACCTGCAGTGTACACATAACTTGCCTCTAGACATAGATATTGCAGTATTACAGCAGTTTGTTAAGTCCTTGGCATATTGACTACCTGGACCTTGTTGAGAGGAATGGGAGAAACAACCAGTCTGTGGCTAATGCTCATGACAGTGGCACAATCTGTTGTGTTCAAAACATCTTACGACCTTACACCTGTAGACCAGTAAGTTGATAGAATGTAGTAACTTCTCAAAGAAATAGGGAAGGGAAAGAATATTGTGCTAAATAAACATAAAAATGACTGCTTGCAACACAAAGTACTCTGAAATTAAGACAGTCTATCAGTGATTATTTCTTAAAACATTAAAAATTACATAACTATATATAATAACTATATGTTAACTGACAGAGTAGATCAACACTGTCCTCAATCTCCATTCAAGAAGAGCATTCTGAACCTTGAGAGAAATACATAGCAGCAAAGACAGCTCATTGTTTTGTGTCTACAACTTCGCCCTATACTTATTATCAACACTTGTCTTCATGAACTGTAAATGACAAACACATGAGAGGATCTATGTCTTTAGTTCACTGCATCTTAAACAAAAGTCAAGGGCTAAACATGCATATAATAATCTTTTCCTAATGTTATACAGGAACTCATTTCAATGAATATTGCAACAATCTAGAAGTGCGCAATTATTTATTACATATTAAAAAATCCTCTTAAAATCAGCTAATTTTATTATTTCTAAAAATCTTACTCTGCCTGAAATCTAAAATAAGCAGATTTAGAGTGACAAAATTCTATCAGGCCGAATACAGCAATATTGGGAAATAAAAAAGAAAAAAAAAAAAGGAAGGAAAAAAAAATCAGCTTCCCATTAGAAGGTAATTCAGTAATTCACTAAAGTAGTTAATAATAAAACCTTTGGCTGAAATGTAATCTTGATTCCAAAGAGCCCTAAGAACTTTTGAGAAAGTCCGGAAAATAATGCATTTGCTAACCACTAGTTATTTCAGAGGTAGCAACACAGAAAATCTTCACAGGTCTCCTGCAAAATAGTAAGATGGGTCCAAGCCACTGTTACCTTGTTTGTTTTTGTCAAGACACATGAAACTGCTCTATAACTTACATTAGTAAAGAACAAGAGTATAGCAGAACAATTTCAATTCCTAAGGCAGACAATGGGCAACAATTATAGAGTGGATAGCATTTTTTATAAAGGCTGAAAATCAAGCTTGCATTATTCTTTCAAAGGTGATACTTTGGATGAGAAAATGTGTATTCCCAAAGCCAAGCTAAAGCCTCAAACACAAAATATTCTACATGATAGGCAATAATGGATGTAAGTTCTTATAATAGGTGCATATTAGTACACTCAGATGTATAATACCATAAGCATTGTAGCTCTAATAAAGGTCCCTTGTCTGCTATTATTCACAGTCTGCAAGTCACGTGATCATGCATTCTATAAAATTAAAATTTGTTGGACAGCTGTAGCTGTCCTGTTTAAAGATTGCACAGTTACTACCCTCATCACATCACACAGCTTACAACCCAAAGTTGCTTGAAATGTGTTATTAATACTGACTAAGGTATTAATACCTTATGAACTGAGTGACAGTACCTCAAAGGAGAAAAAATTCCAAAGGTAAGAAATTTTTATAATGTAAAACTCAGCAGATGCAAAGTTGCTTACATATCTGAAATATTTTCTCTTTGTCAAAGGAACTACAGACTTTTAATTTGTAGGCCAAGATTCCTATGAGTCTTGTTCATTTTATGGTTTTCTGACAATATCACACACAGTTTCACATCGTTTCCTTTGAAGCAAGCTAAAGCTTAGCTCTGAGGCAACTGAACTTAAAGGTTCAAATTCACAATAAAAGTAGGATCTGGAAGTTTCCAATCATGCATGAATGGAAGTGAATTTTGTGCATTCAGAACCCTAAATAGCTCCATCCCTACATAAAAGTTAAGGACATCATTTATCAGCAATGTACATATCATAACTTGCTATTTTTCCACATCCAATCATAAAAGAGCTTCTATAAATGTAAAGCATTCCCAAAGATTTCCTCTCCATATATACATCCACACAGTAAACCTTACTCATCTTACGAAGCAGGCAGAAAGCAAGATGCTGTAGGTGGGAGCAACAGAACATAAGGATAATAATTAACAACTTTATGCTGGAAAGAACAGTAAAAAGTATAATATGGAATAAAGAAGAGGACATTCAGTGCATTTAATACTGATTTTCTGAAGAAGAAGAAGAAGAAAAAAAGGTTAGGATGCATACCTAAACACCAAATTACTTCCTTGGAAATCTGAATTTAACATTACTACAAAAAGACTGAAACAGTTCTAACAATTACATCGTTTGAGCTTCCTTAGCCCTTTCAGATCGTTTATTCCTTTCTGTAAAGAATTCCTTTCAATCTTGCCATATTCTAAATACTGTCAACTTTAATTTCTAAGATAGGTAGGTAATTTTTTCTAAGACAGAATATTTTTGCACCCTCCTCAATTCTTGGCATCCAATTCTCAGAATGTATTTGTTAGACCATGTTCACCTTCATTAAGGAGAAACAATTAGACCATGAATACTAGGTTTTTAATTAATTTACTTTTTTGCTGCCCTAATTTTTCCAGTCTACACTTAAAGCAAGCCTGAAACTTCATACCTGAAATGTGTCAATATTTTTAATCTACAGCCTTTACAAGGGAGAGAACACGGAAAGTAGCAATACACACACTCAACATTTCCAAGACTGCACTAGGTTTCAAGGGTTTCAAATTATCTAAAGATGGGAAATGGAAATACAGAGACATTTTATCAGTTATCCAATGTTTGCGGCTTATGTGAAAGAACCAGACACTTTTTAACTACCAATAGTGTTTTAAACTAAACTTGAGAACTTAACTTTAGAAACTAAACTTCAGAATTTAAAAATTTATCAAAAAATTCTTTCATTTAAAGACACTCTTCCCAAAAGCAGAAAGGTCAATTGCTGCAGGTAAGGGAAGTAACCTCCCCTCTTAATGTCCTCTTTATAGTTGTTCAGAAATATTCACAGACATCCCATTGAAGAGTAAACTACATTTTCAACACACCTGAAGGTTTTCAGATTAAGGTATTAAATATGGAACAGAACCGAGTATCTCTAAAAAAAGATAAATAAATGAGTACATGTTTTAGTGATGTAAATCTCTAATTCATCACTGTGCTTTTGGGGGTAACAGTTGACAGTTTTGTATTGCTGTTCAGAACAGCTCCTAAATCAAAACCTCGTTTTGCTTCAACAGCCAAACAAGGTATTTTATGCTCTTACTTACACATTTCAGAGCTCACATGAATACTGACTGGGTGTTGAAGCAGCGTGAACCTGTAGTGCCCTCCTATTCACTACCTGCTCTGTAACAGATCAGTACTTTATGGCAGCAGATAAAACTGAGAACCACTTGTATACAAGAAAATAGAAACAACTGAGACATTTCTGAAAATTCCTTTACTCTAAAAGCAGAGAATGTCCAGTATTCTCAGCTTCCAGTAATTTCAGTGGAAGCCAGGGTGATGGACACATATGGATTTTGTTTGAGACAGATGGAAAAAACAAAAAAATAAATAGCAGAAAATCTTTGCCCTTTGTTAAAAAGGAGTACAAATATTTGCAAACCAATGTTCATTAGGTTAATACATTATTTTATCTTTCCCTCTTATACACACAAAAAAAATTCAGCTAAGTTATACGATTCCTTTAAATACATAGCATCTTCATTAAGACAAATCCATATCCTAGCCTCTGATGCTGTAGATCTTCTAAGAATTTATTTAGCAAGATTATTTTATTTGATCTGTAGCCCTTTTAAACTAAAGTTCAGCTGTGAGCAAAACCACTGTATCTTCCCTTTATGTTTACACTTTCAGTGTTGATGAAACTTTAATCTGAATGGCATGAGTATCTCCCCCCAACACACATCCCTTCTCTTCAGGGAACCTAGCATCCAAAACCACAAAGAAAATAAATGAATAAGATAACATGTTCTCTGGATTTACATCACAAGGACATTCTTTCACATGGAGAGATCATACTTTAAAGTGCATGTATCACTGTTTAATGAATTTTGATATTAAAAAATACACAGTCTTAATGGAGAAAATTCCCCCAGCTTTCCAAACAGCCTTATGAATTGTAGACCAGTTGCAAATACTGCCTCAGTGAACATGACAGTAAGCCTTTCTCAACACTCTTTACAGGGTTTTGTAAAACTCAAAAGAAAAGTTTGTGTGGGACATTTAACTACCACAGGATCATTTTTGCTCTTGAAAAAAATGAAGCTATGCTTTTCCAAATAATGAAAACTCACCCTTCTTGCATTATTCTGAGAAAATAACAGTGGGACTACTATATTAAACTGTATAAGTATGTGCTGTATGTAAGTGCAAGATACCACTTCAATACACATTGGAAGATAATAAATAATACTGCAATTTCAGATTAATAAATCAGAGACAGTTGCTGAGAAGATGTACAGAGTGACAGTAAGTATTAAAAATAGTTCCAGAGAGACTGAATTCTAAAACTCATTAAATAAAAGTCTTTCCGCCATGTTGATCAGGGAATGTCAGGGATAAACCAAAAATGTATTTTCTGATGCTGGATTTATCAGGAAGACAAGTTGTCTTTTCCCTCCTCCAGTGTTACTGACTTCTATTTATCTGCATCAGTAGAACAAAAGCAAGATAAAAAGGAGGAAACATTTCCTTACAGTAAAGGCAGTAACTCAACTCTGAAAGTCAAATCTGAAAAGAAATCTCACGCTCCCTGTGAGTTGAAAGTTCTAGTATATGAACTGTCATGACTTTCTAG